TTTGAAGTGTATTTTATTGGACACAATTAAGGGCTATAATTACATGAGCTGGGTCGTGTTACTATTTTTATCTTCCATAATTTAATAAAATGCATCACTGAAGTATTTTCCTCTTAAAGAAATGCAAATCCTACAAATGGCAGATGATTACCAGGAACAGATCTATTTCCCTATCAATAATATTACTCTAATGCTACTACTCAATTTCCCTCACAAGAAGCACTTGGTCAACTGTAATAGGTTCTAACTATGAAGCAGATAGCCTTAAGATGCATCTTTTCTCTCATCACCCTGTGGCTATACTTATCCTCTGAGCTACAGAAAGCAAATGTACATTAAGACTTGTCAATTATCTTGGTTCTAGTGCTCAGGTTATAGATGGCAATCCACCAGTGCTGTTAATATTTTAACTAACTTGGTTACGTTGAATGAAAAGTTCCCCTTACCAATCCTCAGGTAGCAGTTACTAGGCTTTTGATACCCAGTTGAACTTCTAGGGTGACTCACAACAAAAGGCCATAATACCCACGTCATCTCTAGGAAGCCAATGCTGATTCCTGACTTCACTCTGTATGAGAGGGTTATCATAATTGCGTTTACAACTAGGACATTTGAGAAATAGAAATACTGGACCATAGTACGTGAACTTGAGACATCTGGATACGTGAGAAGTCACCGATTTTGTGTCATTTGCCATGAGATATTTTTTTTTCATCCATGTAAACTGAAATGCTGGCCATCACACAATACGGCTTCACTGGGCTAGGCACACAAACCCCAAAGACTTAAGAGAACTTATGGGAACCAACTGCCAATAGCCAAGCCAGACAGAAACACTCTTAGAGATGCAATCAAGCATTCTTTCAGTGTGGGAGGTGAGCAAGAAGCTTCCGCTGAACATCTTGGAATGTAGTAATGGGGAATGTGGTGACATCTTGAAGAAAGGATTTAGCCAACCACAGGCCCCAAAAGGCAATAATTATAAACAATGACAACCTCTGGGAACAACAGTCACAGCCACAAATTCAAGTTCTCTCTTCAAAGGGCTTCATTTTAAGCTTCAGATCCCCAAATAATTGCCATGATTAGCATAACCTTTGAATATAAAAGCAAGCTTTTTTTCTAACATATGATATAGAACATTATTTTAAAAAATATACATATAGGGTGTCCCGAAAAATATATACACACTTTGAATAATTATTAAGTCAGGTTTATTAAAATACATTTCACTTTTAAAATGTAATAGAAATCAGTTCTTAAAGCGGGCATACATTTTTTTTGGAGACACCCTGAATATTGGTTCTTCACAGTATTTGTGGGCCGTTTGTACAAGCACACATGAATTTTTTTTTTAAATCTTTTAAATGAAATCCCTAGAGAAGCTTCTTGCATTGACCCTATTGGAAAAGCCTGAGAGATTTGGGGAACATGGTTAAGAAATGAGTGCTGTTGTGTACAAGCAAGAGTATGGTTGGACTTTTCATATCACACTCTATATTTTTCTTCTCTTTTTTTTTCCAGAAATGAGCAAGTCCCCTTAATGATGTTATAAGGGAAACATGGTGCTTTACACAAAGTACAACTTGTAGGGGAAAAATGCATTCACCTTGTGTTTATGGCCAAGGCCAAGGGTCAAAATGAAAATCATGTCCGGTGTGAACTGAAATAATCAAGAGGTTGCATGTGCAGTGCATTTTTATGTTTTCTGGAAGTTTGTTTTAAGACAAAGAACATGTTTATTAACAGTTCGGTCTTTTCAGGGGACTAAATAAGGGCTTGAAGACAATGATGAGATTTGCGTCTATGTGTGCATGTATCAAGGGAAACACTGAATTTGCCTTCTCGACATCCGTTCTAGTATGTCTTTGCTGAACAAGCAACAAGTTGGTGGTAGCTATTACCCCGAGTGGCTTCCAGATGTTAGCCATGTGACTGAGCAGAACTAGTCCCTGACAAGAGTGGCAAGAGAGAGCAATTGTTAGTATATTCAGTGATTTTAATAACCATGAAATACTCTTTCTCGTCTATCACCTCCACCTGCACAATGTAAAAAAAAAAAAAAAACCTACATAAATAGCAATTTTTTTTTAATGGGAAAGAGGAAGATTTAAATCTATATAACATATGTGAATCTACTCTTTTTTTAAAAAAAGAAATAACTAAGTTAATGTAAGCTGGTTACTATTTATTTTCTAATGTTTTAATTTTTTAGATTTTAAATTTTATGTCTATGTTGGATAGAAAGGAATAAACATTCTTATAGTCTATGTTAAGATATTAAAAGCCCTTTTAATGTTTTACATAGTTTAGGTAAAAACTGTCATTAAATTGTTTTCAGCCTGAGTTGAACATTAGTGCATTTTTTGTGAAGTAAAATAAATAATTCATACTTTTGCAAGTAAAGGTATGCACTTTTTCAGGCTTTCTTGAAATTATATTTCAAGTGCCAACATACTTCATGGGTGGCATTCCTCACTGAGAAGCAAGACAGGAATCGATATTTTTACTACAGTCAACCCACTTGTCTTTGTAAACAAAATATTGTTAATGTTTTTCCACTTAGACTTCAATGTTAGCAAGAAGAATACGTAAATTGTTAGAAGAGAGAAATAAATTACACAAACAGTTTTTTAAAGATCATCATTGGTACAAACTGAAGCAAGAAGTTGAAATAGTCAATTGTGGTTCCAAAAGCTGAGGTTTCATGTGTTTTAAAAAATGTAAATTATTCAGTAGATGGTTTGTTCATCTCTTGTACTTTTCCTATTGACACAGGTGTAGTTAGTGATATTTCTGAACATCTTTTGTCTATTATGCATCCTATAATGACCATGTAAATATAAGCTAGTGGGAAACATGGGAGAAAAATTACGTGAAAATTATCTTCACACACACACACACACACACACATCTGCAGTCTGCTTTCTAGTAAGAGAATACTTACTAAGGACTAAGCACAGTGGCAACATTAAAGAAAAACTCTTTATTTTTTGTTGATTGTTTTAGGCCCATTGTATGAGAGTGGGGAATGGGAAAGACAGAAAAGTAAATGACCAAATGTACAAATGCTGTAGAGCAGGTATAAAGGGCATTTGAGCCCAGAACAGGAAAATCTTTAAGATCCCAAGAACAGAGCCAATGGCTATGTTAAAGTTTAAAATCTCACATAACCATTCCTTTCTAAAGCATTTAGTTCTGTTTTATACGAATTCAGGACCTTTAAGTTTTTTCCTAGTCAGTTTTCACAAATGGACAAGGGGAATGTATAATGAAACTTACATTGTCAATTTATAAAATTTTTAAAAATCTAATGCTGGGCATTTTACCCAATGTATACCTATTGTTTATGTACTGTACATGTGTTTCTCTGTCCCTCTGAATAACGCAACAGATAAAAACCAATGGCCTGGCCGGCATGGCTCAGTGGTTGAGCAATGACCTATGATCCACAAAGTCACAGATTGATCCCCAGTCAGGGCACATGCCAGGGTTGCAGGCTGGATCCCCAGTAGGGGGCATGCAGGAGGCAGACACCTGTTGATTCTTTCTCCTCATTGATGTTTCTATTTCTCTCTCCCTCTCCCTTCCTCTCTGAAATCAATAAAAATATATTTTTTAAAAGAACAACCAATGGAGAGGATACAATTGGATGCTCAAAAATGAGTAAAACAACTAATGGATAACTGTGCCATGTCTGCATGACTAGTGTGATTTCATTTAACTGCAATCATTTGAAAATACCAAACATTCGCCATCTAAGTGGCTAATATTTCAATCACTTTTTTAAGCCAACAAGTGTGCCCTAAAGGATTTCTAAACACATAGTGTAACAGCAAACTAAACTCTGACCCTGACATTTATATGTTTAGATCCCAACAGATATTGAAACTTTGCAAAAAGGGAAACTTTTCTGTTTTGTTTTTATTTTGTTTACTTGATTCTCTGAGTTTAGACATTCAAGTTAGCAAAAAGAAGTGCATCCATAATGGGCACACAGACTGGCTGAAAGCAAATGAGCAACAACAAAATAATTAAAAGATACACAAAGAATAAAAGAATGTACCAATAAAAATCTTCCAGGGATAATTTTCCCCCCAAGTTCAACAGGGCAAAAGATCCACCATAAAAGAGGCAAACAACCATCCTGAAACTTAATTACATTTCAAAGTACTGCAGTCACATGAAAGGAACAAAACATTTTTGTTCGATAGTTTGCCTACCAGATGGCATTTCTAAATATAGTCATCTAAAACCTTCTGTTTGTTCTATAAATAAAGATGAAAGGAATAGCAACAATAGCTAAGCATTTAAATCACTGGGAATAAAAGAGCACTTTGATTAGTTTGGAAGAATCTGGCTGATGCTAATAATGATCCTGAGTCTGGGAAGGCTCAAGTTCAAGGTGAAACTCAGAATCCCAACCTTCAGGTACTGCTCAAACAGGTGGTCACTGTGATGGAGGAGTAAACCAGGAACTAACACCAGGAGAATTGGGGACATCTGAAGAAACACAGGAACTCCTAATCAACAGAGATTCTAAAGGGCCACAGTCCAAATTCCAGAAGCTTTGTTTTGTTTTGTTTGTGTTTAAATAACATAGTTGGGACGTGTCTTGTCTTACTTCTGTGAGCTAATGTGTAAATGTGGGTACCAGTTAAGGACCTGAAGTCTGGAGTCAGATAGGCCCTACGTGTGGAGTCCAGACTCTACAAAGGACTGGTAGGAGGACCCTGAGTCAAGTTCTTTACCTCTCTCAGCCTCACTCGCAAAAACAGATAGTAATAGTTCAGAGTTTTATGGGATTTTACTTAAAATGCTTCTTGGCACCTCGAACATGCAATGAATGTCAGTTGCTTATTATTATTACCAGCAATCATAATAAACACAGCTGTGAGGGAATTGTTTCTGATTTTTTGCTGTCTCAAAGGCATGGAGTCATGCACAGCAAGGTTTGCCGGCAGAAAACAGGGTTCTCAGAGTAGAACTTAAAGCCTTACCTGGCCTGTCTCCATGTGGCCTGAGTACAGCACTACCCTCTTCTCACCTGGCTTTTGGAGGTTAACGAGATCCACCTGGGGAAGGCGGGTCTAGAGAGAGAAGAATTGTTGTGAGAATTCATCATCAGCGCTCAACCTAACCCATCCTGTCCTCCTTAATGACTTCACTCTCAAGATCTGTAGGTTTTAGTGAAAGGACTCAAAAAGCTCCTTTTTGAGCTGGGTATCAAATGGCCTGTGGATTCCCATCCACAGCATTGGTATAACAGTGTGATAGCATAGGGCTTATCTTGGCAACCCACCCAGGATGATAAGCAGTTCAGCCACTTGGGAGTAGGGTGATTACCTTTAACCAAAAAGGTAAGTTGTAATTGCTTAAATATGATGTAGACGACAATGAATGGAAGTCAGGTGTTTAATAGCACTTAAAGTTCCACTGGGTTGTTTAGAATTTTACACGAGGTAAGAGCCACCTGCTAGGGCTACAGCACTCAGTATTAAAAGATGTCTGTGGTTAGATATTTACATAGAAAGTAATTCTATTTGGGGGGAAGGAGTGCTTTTATAAAATATGATAATATATATATATATATAACATTAAATTATCCATTTGGCCCAACCATTGTGGCTCAGTAGTTGAGCCTCAACCCATGAACCAGGTGGTTATGGTTTGATTTCCAGTCAGAGCACATGCCCAGGTTGCAGGTTCGATCCCCAGAAGGGTACGTGCAGGAGGCAGCCAATCAATGATTCTCTCTCATCATTGATGTTTCTATCTCTCACTCCCTCTCTTCCTCTCTGAAATCAATAAAAAAATATATTTTTAAAATTATCCATTTGGACCATTTTTAAGTATATAGTTCAGTGGCTACAGCCATTAAGGAGTAGCTCCCCATTCTTCCCTCCCCTCAGGCCTTGGTAACCACTACCTTACTTTCAGCCTTTTATGAAACTGTCTACGCTAGATACCTCATGTAACTGGAATCACACAATATTTGTCCTTTTGAGACTGGCTTACTTCACTTAATGTTTTCAAGGTTCACCTACATTGTAGCGCATACCAAAATTTCATTCCTTTTTAAGGCTGAATAATATTCCATTGTATGTCTATACCACATTTTGTTTTCCATTAACCCACGGACGGACATTTGGGTTGGTTATTGTGAATAATGTTGCCATCAACACTGGTGCACACGTATCTGTTTGCGGCCCTGCTTTCATGTGCTTTGTGTGTGTTTTTTTGTTTTGTTTTTACATCTCAAAGCGAAACAAGATCGTATGGTAATTCTGTTTAACTTTTCGAGGAACTGCCAAACTATTTCCATAGCTGCTGCACCATTCTGCAATCCCATCAACAATGCGCAGGATTCCAAGTTTTCCACACCATGGCCTACGTTTATTTTCCATTTCTTTCAATAATCCACGGGTGTGAAATGGCCCCTCTTTAAATTAGATTTGCTTTGTAAACTATTTTTTTAAAAACTATCCAAAGGGTTATTATTATATGGTTATTGTATCCCGAGTATAAATAACTAGCTAGCTACATCTTGTTCAAGCTTTAAAGTAGAAGGTAAGATATGTGGATACCTGCTCCATTTTAAACATACGAACACCGATATATTCCCAAACAAAACAAAACACAAAAAAATCCTGAGTTTAGGATTTCAGCTTAAAATCCTACAGCAAAATATATATATATACATATTCCTTGCCCTCACCGAAGCTGTCTCCTTTATAAAACTATTCTTAGCCAAAAAACGAACTCACAGCATCCACAGAACTGCTGGCTGCAGACTTGACCCAGAGGCGGGACAGCGCCAGGCCTGC